TTTTTTTTATTTCGAAAACGAATCATTTGCGGATTTGTTTATGCGGATGACGGATTGGAATGGACGGACAATTTTCGGTGTGACAATCCGCAGCATCAGTTGTTTCAGTTCTATATGCGATAGACGACTATTTAATATGAAAGGGTTAAGAATGTTTTATTTGCAAACTGCTTTGCGAGCTCACCGGTCGGGTATCGTACTTCGAAGTAATCATAACTCAAGAATCAAATAATATAAGTATCTTTTTCACGACTATCAAACAACTAATTGCAGTAAACATTTGATGCGTTTTGTTTGGAGGACAAACTTAGGCCGGTAGATAGACTGTTTGTTTCTTTCATTACACTTGACGTGGTTTTAATCATGATTGTAGTCAATGCAACTATGATGTAAAGATAAATGTAATTAAAGTTTCTCTGATTTTACACGAAAATATGGTTTGCTAATTAACTCAATGAATAATTTTGGAATAATAATTATTATAAGTAGTCGTGGAAAAATATTTAATTTCTAATTTTTACGCCTATTACTTTATTATGTTGAGATTGATTATGTTTCTGATATTAAATATGTTTATTACAGGGTACCTGGAAGACTTTGTAGAAAATAAATAATTTATTTCTAGAAAATCAATAATTCCAATTTTGGAAAAGCTTTGAAACAAAAATGCTGTAACACATTAACTTCAGATTTCCTTATTGTTCCCAAAACATTTGTTGGGTGTGTACATATTTAGAATTAGAAGCCACAAAAAAACACACTCATTCGGAATTGTTTGGCTTTAGTATAATTGATTGTTAACTCCAGGTTTGAATCGTTATGTTATCGTCCTATCGGGGCTAACTAGCTTTCTAGAAACCTACCGTTATTTGATTTTAAATTGTCACAACTGTTTTCTTTACATTCTTTCTTGTTGTCATGTTTATCTGAATTAATATTTGAAAAAATCCGTACTTGAAGGTTATACTTTACTACATCAGTAGTTGTAATGGATGTAGAATATAGTACGTAGATGTTAATTATTGTT